CCACCCCGCAGCCCTTGCCCCAGCCCTGACCGTCTCCTACACCCCAAACCCCTCATCCTTGGCCCCACCCCAGAGCCCTGACCCCCTCCTGCACCCCAACCCTCTGCCCCAGCCCTGAGCCCCTCCCACACCCTGAACCCCTCATCTCCAGCTCTGCTGAGTCACGGGCATCTTCAACTAGGTCTCCAGAAAAAAAGTTTGAACACCACTGGGCCAGGATACTGGTTGGACAGACCTCCAAGGGAAAGACAGGGTGCTGCAGGGAGTGGGATAGGGCTGTGGTGGGGGGCGCTGTGCTGTGGGGCTGAGGGCTCAGCAGGGCCTCTCTCCCCTGGCAGCCAGGGCTGGCCCCGATGCCCCGATGCCCCACTGCGGCGCTAGGGGGTGCAGTGGGGCAGGCCTCAATAGGGGGCGCTCTCCCCTGGCAGCCAGGGCCGGCCCCGTTGCGGCGCTAGGGGGCTCTGTACTGACGGGAGCAACCTTTCTGCATAAGGCTAAGATTGTGTCCTGGGTATTTTTAGTAAATGTCGTGGGCAATAAACCATCAATCTCGGACGCCCGGGCCCGGCTGCCTGGGGCTGGTCACGTTAAATCACGGAATCCGCGACCGACCTGTAGCTTTATCTCTGCATCTCTGTGCCTCCAGAAATTAATATTTTCTTTTTTGCAACTCTTCCGCCCGCCCGCCCCTGTCCGTCCCCCCCGAGCCGCTGTGGGGCCTGGAAGTCGCGACGCGTTTACACGGCATTTCAGAGGTGGCGGGGACGGGTCGCCGGCCTGGCTCACCGGGCGGGAGCTGCAAAGCTCCGGCTTACCAGGGAACTTGCTCCGGGCGAGATTTTTCAACATTCTGGTTTCAGGAGTCTCAGCGAGCGGCTGCCAGGACGAGGCGGAGGTGGGGGAAGATCTGGGGCTTTCCTGACGGATAAATCACAGACAGATTCGAAGGTGGGAAAAGGGAACTAAAGACGGTTAAGTGAGAAAGAGACTAGCCCTGCCCACTAGCCCTCACTCCCCTCCCAGAGCCGGTGAGAGAACCCAGGAGTCCTGGCTCCCAGCCCCCCTGCTCTAACCCACCAGAACCCACTCCCCTCCCAGAGCTGAGGAGAGAACCCAGGAGTCCTGGCTCCCAGCCCCTCCTGCTCTAACTCACCAAACCCCCACACCCCTCCCAGAGCTGGGGAGAGAACCCAGGAGTCCCTGGCTCCCAGCCCCCCTGCTCTAACCCACCAGCCCCCACTCTTCTCCCAGAGCCGGGGAGAGAACCCAGGAGTCCTGGCTCCCAGCCCCCCCTGCTCTGACCCACCAGCCCCCCACTCCCCTCCCAGAGCCAGGGAGAGAACCCAGGAGTCCTGGCTCCCAGCCCCCCCTGCTCTAACCCACCAGACCCCACTGCCCTTCCAGAGCCGGGGCGAGAACCCAGGAGTGGAGACCCCAGCCCACCTCCGAGAGCTGGGCACAGCCTGGAGCCTGGAGCCCTGGTTGGAGGGTCCCAGGCCGGGCGTCGGGGAAGCTGGGCCCAGGCAGATTCACTTTCGTTTTCAGGCTGGGCGGGAGCCTCCTGCTCTGCTCTGGGCAGGAACTGGCAGCTTGCACGAGCAGGCTCAGGGACTCGGGCGGAAGCCGCTGCCCTCCTCCTGCCCCAGCTGGGGTCAGCCTCTCCTGCCAGCCCTGGGCAGGGGCTAGCGGGGGTGACATAGCGATGAAAAGGTCTAGAAACCCTGAGCTAGGAGGACGATTGAAAACACTGGGTGTGTTTAGTCTGGAGGAGAGAAGGCCGAGAGGGGACATGAAAACAGTTTTCAAGTACGTAAAAGGTTGTTACAAGGAGGAGGGAGAAGAATTGTTCTCGTTAACCTCTGAGGACAGGACAAGAAGCAATGGGCTTAAACTGCAGCAAGGGAGGTCTAGGTTGGACATTAGGAAAAACTTCCTAACTGTCAGGGTGGTTAAACACCGGAATAAATTGCCCAGGGAGGTTGTGGAATCTCTGTAATTGGAGATTTTTAAGAGCAGGTGAGACAAACACGAGTCAGGGATGGTCTAGATCACATGTGTCAAACTCAAGGCCCGCGGGCCACATCCGGCCCGCCATACAATTATATCCGGCCCGCGAAATCGTTTTATATATCTGTTTTTAATGGCCCTGTGATATGACGCCCCAATAACACACACTACAAATCCCATGATGCAGTGCAATTGCCGCCAACGGCAAGCCGCGGTTCAAGTTCCCGTTCTGTTGATGTATACAACGCTAAT